GAGTACTGTGTCCAGTTCTGGTCTCCCTGTCATAGGAAGGATAATATTAAGCTTGAGAGGTTTCAGAAGAGATTTAACAGTTGTTGCCGGGAATAGAGGGTTTGAGTTATAAGGAGAAGCTGGGACTTATTTTTTCCCCAATGCAGCAGAGGAGGTTGACTCTATAGAAGTTAAAATAATGAGGGGTATAGATAAGATGAATGGCAGGTATCTTTTCCCTAGGATGGGGGATCGAAAGACTAGGGGCCATATTTTTAAAGTAAGAGGAGAAAGATTTTAAAAAGACATAAAGGGCAATTTTTTTTTTAAAAAACAATGCGGTTCGTGTGTGGAAGGAACTTCCAAAGGAAGTTTAAAAGACATTTAGATAAGTACATGAATAAGAAATGTTTGCAGGCATATGGGCCAAGCACAGGCAGGTGGAACTAGGTTAGTTTGGGATTATGATTGGCATGGACTAGTTGGACTGAGGGTTTTATTTCCATGCTGTATGACTCTATGACTCTAATTAAATCTGTCCCTACCCACCACCAAACCTGTCTCTGGTGGGGCATTAAATTCAATCCAAATTTCTGACAAGGGTTTTTCCTGAATTCCTGATTGGATTTATTAGGGACCATCCTATATTTGGTCTTATTAAAAGCTTATGTGAGTGAAAATATGAAAATATGAAAATATGAAAATACACCAGAGAACAAAAAAGCAAGCAAATAAAAACAGATAGTGAAATGTATTGAAATTAAAGCCGGAAATACTGGAAACACAAATGAGGCCCACCCATCCTAAGAGGAGGGAAACAGACCACATCTCAAACTTTGGCAGAGCTACGTCCTCAACAATAGTTAACACCCAGAGCTTCAACACTTCTCCGCTGAATGCAAACAGACCCCTTTCCACTTCCCTAGGAACTGTTTTCAAACAAATGAAAATGCTTTTGTCAGAATTTATTAAAACCAGTGCAGATCATATTTCTAACTTCACAGGGAAAATGAAAGCTTGTACTGTTTGTGAAGTTTTGATAGAGTTTGGTTATAGGACTCTAGAAAATTAACGCAAGCGTTAACACTTGGGCCATTTGACAGACCAAAAACGTGAAGAACTAAAAGAAAGGAAAATAGTCAAAACATTTTTCACAAATTTTGTGATGGCATCTTGGGTTCACCACTTTGTTGAGCACTGGGTGCTGGAAAAAGAATCAAAACATGACAAATTCTGCAAAAATGATTAAACATGTCAATACAATGGTATTTTCTATGTAAGAAATGCCTGTGATGATTTCCATTGAAAGTTTGCTTCTATGGGAAAACATCAACTGGAGTTCATGGCGTTTACTACAGATGTCACTTAGTCAGCATGGCTCAACAGGTTATATGCTCAGCTCCCAGATGTGCACCCTATAAGTCACGTGCCATTTTATGCATATGGTTAGACCATACTTACAGCACTGTGCATTGCTCTTCATTCATGGGATATGAGTATCACAATACAATTTAACATAATGGTGCACACAGCTTCAAGATCAATTAGCGCTGGACATGCCAGCAACACACACATCCCATAAAGGAGTTAAAAATAAGTTTCACATAGAAATAAGAGCTTACAGAAAATATACTACAACATCAATATAGATGCACTGGATAAAGTGCAAAAATGATTTACAAGGATGATACCAGAAACGACAGGTTGGAAATGACCAAAGACTCAACAGGCTTGGGATTGTTTCCTTTTGAAAAGAGAAAGCTGATAAAGGTAATGTAATTTCTTTTTCTCTGTAGAGGGGTTTCACAGAATACATGTACATCTATCCCGTTGGACAAGTCATTATAAATATACAAGTCACCAATAAGTCCACTGGAAGTTCAGCAGAAACTAATATTCAGCTAGTGGTGAGAATGTGGAATTTATTATTGCATGGAGAAGTTGAGGTGAATAGATGCATTTAGGTGAAAGCTTGATAAATACATGAAAGAACAACAAATTGGAGGATATGTTGAAATAGAATGGATGCGTAGCATACTGATATCCTGTGCTGTAAATACAACATAATACAGTGTAAACATGTTGAAAATCTTTTTAACATTTGGTTAAGAACATAAGAATATAACAAAAAGGGACAAGACTATGCCATTTGATGCCCCGGACCATTTGCCATTCCACATGATTATGTTTTGGTCAGATGGTAGCCTCAACCCATTTTCCTGTCTGCTCCCCATTACTCCTGACTGCCTTGCAGGTTAAAATCCCATTTAATTCAACCTTAAGGGCATTCAATGATAATAACTTCCACAATGCTCTAATGTAGAGAATTCCATAGATTAACAACCTCAAAATCTCAGATCTTGAACACCCAAGCAGCCTTAGTCAATGGTATATTTGCACACCCAACATTCGTTAACTGATAACGGTTCCAAAATTCAAATCATTATTGTTCTGAGAATAGCTTTGAATATAAATATGTCAAAGTATGTCACTTTTTGCACAGGTGTTAATGTGGATGCACCATAAAAACAAAACATTAAATGGGGAGCACTTAGATATGAATTGGCAAACAACAGAATCAAGTCAATCTAATCACATTTACCTTCTATTTTTATGAATGGATATATTTGACTTGCTAAGCATTGCCTTTGTGATCATTGGTAGTGTTATCTCCACCTTTGTAGAATAGTCAGTGTTAGAGGGAAGAGCTGCTCTAATTAATAAAATGGAAATAGAATCATTGTTCTGTCATAAATGCGACCATATTTTCCCCCACAGAAGGGAGACTGAAAATAATAACTTACACATTTAAAAAAATCGCCTGTTTATTTATGAGAACGTAAATTTGACAGAATTGAAAATCAATGCTAACACCATGACTCATACTTTCCATTCACACGGAATTTCACTTTAATCCTCCATCAGCTGATGTTTATCTCTGTGGTACATGTTTTAAAAAATGCTTTTAAGTGGCAATAAATATCCAAAGTACTTATTTGAATGATATCAGAATAAATGTACCTATATGTGGTCAGTTGGACCCAGAAATATTTTGCAAATATTCCTGCCCCTCTTCTAAAGAGACAGTGGCCTTCAATGTAAGCAGAATGAAACTATGTGGTCTGATAGCACTTTCAATTGGAATTCTTTTGTCTGCAGTCTCCACTGATTTTAGCATTCCAGAACTCATGCATGACATTATCTTTGCCAGTTTTTAAAAGAAGCACCTCAAAATTTTAATTCTGATTTTCTTACTACATAACATAGTCCTTTCATTCATTTGCGTGAACCAGATCAGCCATGCCTTGATTTTAAAATTTGAGTTCACATCTCTCCATGCCATACGTTCCTCCCCAATTCTATACCTCATTTAGCTCTGTAAGCCTCTGAGATATTCAAGTTTCTTCTATTCTGATCTACTGCATATCCATAATGACCACCACTGCTGTGGAGGTGCCAGTGTTGGACCTGAACGGACAAGGTCAGAAGTCACACGACACATGAAGAAGGAGCAGCGCTCCAAAAGCTTGAGATTTCAAATAAACCTGTTGGACTATAACCTGGTGTCGTGTGACTTGTATTTGCTCACGGCTGATGAATATGCATTCAGCTGTCGAACACCCAACTCCTTGAATTGGTTCCCTGAAGCTTTCTGCCTCTCTATTTCTCTCTCCACCATTATGATGCTCCTTAAAACCTATCTTTTTGACTAAGGTTTTTAATAATAGTCCTAATAGGTATTTGTGGCACAACCCCTAATTTTGTTTGATGACGCTACTGCTAAATGCCTTGGATGACTTATTACATTAAAACTGCCATATAACTAAGATGTTGAGCATTAAGACTCCAACACTAACCTATAACAATAGCAGGAGCTTGTTTGGTACGCATGTTAAGATTTTGATTCATGGTCATGTGGATTTATTGTGAGCCTACCAATTATTGTGTTCAATAAATATTAATTTATTTTGGCAAAGGCAGTAAATGTTAGCACACATACTATTGCATGCAACAAGATTGTCTTTTCAGTAAATTTTCTGGTTATTGTACTAACACAAGGAGATATGCTGTTCTATAACACCACCAGCATGGAACTGCATAATGCAAAATATAATAGTCCATTGTTCAGATATGGCTGTTTTTTCACAGCTTTCACTTTAAATGCTGACAAGAAATGTATCAACCATACAAAACGCAACTTGCATTTATAAAGCACATTTAAGATAGTAAAAGATTCCAAAGCAATTCCAAGGAACAATTATCCAACAAAAAAACTTGACATTGAGCCATATTAGGAAATATTAAAGTGAGTCACCAACGTCTTAATTAGAGAGTTGGTCTAAAGTATTGTCTTCAGGGATGAAGAGGAGCTAGCAGGGTGAATAGATTTAGGAAGGGAATTCCAGAGATTAAAGAGTTGGCGGCTGCAGGCACTAACACCAATGGTAATGCAAATCATACTTAAGAGACCAGAATTGATGGAGCAAGTAAAATGCTAACTGCTGTGGCGAAGGAACATTTTCAGATTGGCAGCCATCAATATTAATTACTAGCTCCATGGTAGAAGAAAACAGCACTGATTTAAGGTTTTTTCTTTTTCAAATATGTGCTGTATTTTCATCATAGTTTCCACTCCTTAGTTTTTTTGAATAAATTTGCATTCAATCAGGTGAAAGAGTGAATTACTTTCAAGTGAGCTATCTGCAAGACTTTTGAACACAGTATAAACTTATTAATCCTATATTCCAGGAGGCTGGAAAATGCCCATAAATGTACTCCAGTCAATTCAAAAACTTATTGCACTAACAGAATTTTCTCAACTTTCGAGTGCAGTGGTATCATGTCACAGTACAGCTATGTGTTCCCTAGATTTCAGGCCATACATCAACAGGAATGGGGGAGGAGGTGAAGATGGATGTGAATATCATAGGGCAGGCTGAGAGGAGACTGGCTTTAGAAAGGTCTGGAAATAATTACCGCTATCGGGGGAAAAAGGGAATTGTCTGGAAACCTCGGCTTACCACTCGCTCAGATTCCAGAAGTTCTGGTTTGACTCTTGCCATCGGCATCCCATCAAGCATTAGCATTATGTTCTCAAAAGGTGTCGTCGCTGTTCAAACACTGCAGAGAAAGTGAAAAATAGGCATGTATGAGAAGGCCATTTTAGTAGTACTTCTGACCCTCGTATCACCACCCCCTCCATGCCAGCTGAAATTACTAAAACAAATGCCAATTACTGCAAGCATGCAACTTGAACTATTGAGACTGTTGCAACATTGGATTTACAGCTTACAGTACCAGATTTTCAATAGGCTTCAATAAATTGGTGTTCTGGGGCAGGCCTCCGAGTGGCTGTGTACTTCTTGTTCAGAGACCCAAGAGGACCTTGTCCTCATCCTGTTTTGTTTGAAATGCAAGCTCCCTTTCAGAATTCAGCCAGGGATACATGAAGTGCAAATGCCTCAGGCTACATTACTGACAGACATTGAAGGATGAACGGATGGAACTGAGCCCCCTTGAGGAAGCATTGCTCAATGAGAAAGCAGCTGCTTCACATAAGGATGTCCATGTCATGCAGAAGTGGAACGGGTTACGAGTAAGGAAGAGATTTGAGAAATGCATAATTAATGAACTGTCGGAAAAGAAAAGTCATACACCAGTGGTGGTGTTCTTTTTCCTCACCACCCTATCATAACTGCTTTCGTAACAAGTATTTCACAATTCATTGTAATCATTATATTCATCACTTCAATGATCCCGGAAAACAGGGCATTGAATAACAGCTTCTCATTGATTATATAGTCCATCAAGTGATGCAAAGTCAAGTTTATGCATTCTTTTTCAGTCCAAGGTCTCCTGTCGACTTCACCCATCTCATGATTTTAAACTGCACTGTATTTACTTTGGACCTGCTTTCTTTGCTATTCAACAATCACAGTGCAGCAGAAACTGGGGTCGCTTTGGCTCAGTTGGCTGGATGGTTGGTTTGCGAAGTAGTATGATGGGGATGCCATCAGTGTGGGTTTGATCCCTGCACCAGGTGAGGTTACCATGAAGGACTCTCCTTCCCAACCTCTCCCCTCACCTGAGCTATGGTGGCCCTCAGGTTAAATCAGCATGAGTTGGCTCTCTCTAAGGACAGAGTAGCCCTATGGTTTGGTGAGACGATGGTGGCTTGATGATGACGACAGTAGAAACCCAAATACCTGCACTGCCTGAATACCCTTCTTGCCCTTGAATAAACCATGAAGCCAGAAAATATAGAAGTTGGCCATTCAGCCCATCAAGTCTGCTCCACCATTCATTGAGATCATGGCTGACCCAATAATTTTCAACTGTTTTTTTGTCTGTTCCGATAACCTTCAATTCCCTTATTGCTTAAAAATCTAAGCCTTGAGCAAACTTAATGACCCAGCTTCAATGGCCTTCTGCTGTAAATAATTTCCCAGATTCACTACCCTCAGAAGAAATTCCTCTTTGCCTCTGTCTTAAACAAGCAATCCCTTCTTTTGAGATAATGGTCTAGTCCTAGACATTCCCATAGGGGAAAGAGCCCCTACCCTGTGAAGTCTCGTAAGAATTTTGTATGTTTCTATAACTCACCTCTTATTTTTCTATGTTCCAAGGAGCACACACTCAAGCTCTCGTTATAAGACCGTCCCTCCACACCCAAGATCAGCCTAGTGAACCATCTCTAGTTTTAATGCCAGCATATCTTTTTTTTTTAAAAAAGATACAGGGACCAAAACTGTTTACAATATTCCAGCTGTAGTCTGATCAGTCCCTTGTATGGGTTTTAGGGAAATCTCCCTACTTTTATGTGCCATTCCCTTTGTTGTAAAAGTCAACATTCCATTTGCCTTCCTAATTACCCGATGAAGTTGGATACTAGCTCCTTGTGGTTCACGCACAGGGACTCCCAAATCCCTCTGTTCCACAGTTTCCTGCAGTCTTTCGCCATTTAAAGATGCTCAGCTCATCTATTCTTTCTGCTAAAGAGTGCACACTTCCCCACGTTATATTCCATCTGCCCATTTTTTGCCCACTTGCTCAACCTGTCTATATCCCTCTGCAGATTCTTAGTGCATTCATCCATTTTTGCACGTCACCAAATCACTAATATATGTTTTGTAAATAACTAAATAAATATTAGCAGTGATCCCTGTGGCACTCCACTAATTACAGGTTGCCATCCTGATCCTGATTTCCCTTCTTCTACTGGTTAACCAGTCCTCCAACAGAGGGCAGAGTTGGGTCAGGGGGTTTTCAAGATGACAACAGGTAACTGTTATATCCTCCCTCAGACTTTAACCAAATGCTCTTGTCTATTGACCTTCCAAATCAGTTTTCCATTTGCATTTTCCTATAAAATACTCAGTGTGGAGAACAAGTTAAGAATTTCACCGACTGCTACAACATGTTGTGTGCATGAACATTTCCCCTTTTGCATACACATTCCAGCAGTCTGCCATGGGGGAAGAAAGTCCGATAAAACTGGAATGCTTTCATAATTAGCTTATCATTCCGTGAATCAACTATGCCGAAGTATAGGCAACTAACATACTTGCTCACCAAGTCATATTTACCATTAAGTGTCTCACCAGCCTTAAGGAACAATGTCTCCCATTTAGTCAGGATCTGTTCTTCACCCTACATACACCCACTATGATACTGACATGATCAGGAACTTGTCACATGGGAAAACACAGACACCATTTTACATTTTAGACCGTGTTTACACTCAGCTTTGTTTTTTCACCTCTGCATTATTGATGAACCCTCATGCCAATTCATCCCAGTAGTCCTCCGTTAGTTTAATTCATTTACTAATTCATTTACTGACACTGACAAGGTTAGCACTTCTTACCCACCCCAAAGTTGACACAACTGTGTCTTTTGCTCAGTCACCTCAGAGTGCAGTTAGAGCACTCTATTTAGAATTGGAGTTACATAGGAGACCAGACCAGGAAGGTACAGGCTTATTTCTGGGAGTTAACCAGTGGCTTTTATTTGTTTGCAACAATCTGACTAGTGACGTCTGTTAATGCCAGCCTTTCACTTCAGATTTGCTCTGAATTCAAATACAGCATCTGCCATGGTGATGCTTGATCTCATGCTGTCAGAATTATTAGTCCAGGACACTGTCTCACAAGGACAGTGATATAATCTCTGTCTTGGAACACAGGAAGGAAGAAGAGTTCTTGGGTGGCACACCCCGAAATTGTTCCTCTCCCTCTATAACAGACAGGGAGTTCAGCATTTAACCATATCAGGCTAGATTAGATTGGACTATGTGTCTCATGAGTGAAAGGATAATGTACTAACTCAATACATTGCTCAATCCCTGCTGAATAATTGCATTAAAAAGTCACATCCCAGTGGACTCTAGTAGCTAATTTAGGTTTACAGCTCTGAGGAAAAACACATGCTACTCTGTGACCTCTTCCAGCCGCATCAGTGTTCTGAAATCCATGTGCTCTTCCAATTCTGGCCTCTTGACATCCCCAAATTTGAAACACGCAATGCCTTCAATTGCCTAGGCCCCAGGCTCTAGAATTCTTCCCTTAAATCTGTCTACCTCTCTTCCTTCTGTAGCTTGGCAGCAATTTGTTGACATTGCTTCTGTTAAGTGTGTTGAGATGTTAAAAGCATTACATAAATACAAATTATTTTTGTTGATCGATAGATACAAAAATTAAATGTAAATATACCCTTGTAAAATAATTATGAACTCAATATCTACTCTAGTTAATAAATCAATTCTCACCTATTAGTATTGCAAACTCGACATCTCTACTTAACTCAATAATACCTAAAATTAAGTTAATTGTTCAATTTGTGAACTGTGCTGAATGAACATGATTTAGGGACTACGAGATTGATTTTGACTTTGCGAGAGTGTGTAAAATGGGCGTTAGGGAATCAGCAGCACATTTACTGCTTCCTCAAATTTTATTTCTATTGAAGTCAATGAAAGTAAAAATCAGAAGAAATTTAATTCCTGACTTGTCACCAATTTTACATTGATGGCCAATGGCAAGAGCTACCTTTATATTGTTGAGAATTCAGGTCAGTGAAGGGTGGAAGATAAATCCAGAAGAAAAAAGAAATAGATTTAACTTGCATTGCCTCACAAGATTTACTTTGGGAATAATAATTCAGGCACATATCTGCCACATCTTCTTGTGAAATTTTAAGATGGCATCACCAAATTTCTCAGCCAACAAGAAACTTCCCTTCAATATTTCAATTAACAAATTTCACTTTAAAATATTTTAAAAATATACGCCCATTTACTTTTGAATCAATGAGTGGCCCAGAGAACTCTGTGGCAATTGAAATGACGGGTTCTTGAATCATCAAATATTTATAACTCAAAAACATCAGTAATGATGAACATTTAACTATAGGCATATTAAATTTTAAGACAACAACCTGTTTCTAAGAAGAGTTAAATATGTGTCTCAAATAAGGAAAAATACTTCGACACTCTGTTAACCAACAACTTCTTAGGGCCTACTCTCTTCCACAAATTTCATTGCTAAAAACTGTTGACATTTCTATCTCATGTCAGTTTTAATAAAAAGGTCCCTCATCGGAAATGTTAGAATAGGTAACATATATGTGGAGGGAGAAACAGTATTGCAGTATTTTCTGCTTTTATTTTAGACTTCCAAAGTGGGAAGGGGGTTGTATGTGTGCACACAACTGTGGAATGGAGTCACATCCATCACCCCAGAAGCAGATCAATTCTTTTTATAGGATTAGGGCAATAGCACTTTTTAAAAGAAAGTTTTTTTTTGAGAACAGTTTGACACATTCCAACATCCCTGTACAGTTAATTGCTTCTCTAAAGTACATAAAATCAATGGTTGGTCATGGAAATATCATTAAAGCCTTTTGATCTTACCTTTCAAATGGTTCCTGAAACCAGACAGACAATCATTCACAACTCGCAAGGGATTATAAATCGCATGTCATGGAGAAACTGACCGGACTCCATGAAAATTGCACAGGACTAGGAGATGCCAATGTCCAGGTTACAGTGCAGACTACCTGCTTATTACTGTAATGATAGTGATAATGGTCGAATAAAAAAATCCCTCATCAGCAATTGATTA